TGTGTTAAATCTCATTTGAGCGAGTCTATGTCTGACTGGGCCAAAATGTCAAAGACGTGTTATGAACGATACTTTAAATACCAATTGCTGATACAGCAGAATTGGCTGGATGCAGGTGACGTATTTCAGTGACACAAAGTGGAATCATGTTCTGTGTTCAGTCCAAGTGGCTACTAAAAGATGAGGCAACGCGTCCTAGAAATCATTGGTATCATTTTGGGCCTCCGTCCTTTCTTATGGCCACTAGGATTTGTGGAGATGCTGTAAACACACTGAATACATTGACATTGGTTGATCGTTTCATTGAAAAATGCCAACTTCATTCGGTTTGTCATTGCATCCATACGGTAATGTACACAGCAGTCGAATCAAATCGTAATGTTTCTCGGTCCATTGTGCGTTTGCAGCTATATCACAATGTGTTCATTGAAATGTTTGTGAAAATGTGAGCGCAATCTTCTCCCTGATGACACACGTCACTAACACTATATACATTTATTGATGATTTACAGGGTTTTGTATCATATTTGGTCGTGAGAAATGTTTTGGGTTTTTTTTGTGTGTGTTTTTTACAATTATGTCAGTATTGGTAAGTAAACATATTGATTCCAAATGTCAGCCTCACAGAATAATCTTTAGTAGTAGTTATTTGCTTTATTTAACGTCGCACGCACAACTAAGGTATTTCGGCGAGGGCGCGTACAAGACAAACTATTATGACTTTTATATGAATCCATAACAAACATCGATGACACCTGGTGTTCTCTAAATGGGCAAATATGTCCCGAACAACTTGTTTGCCTGGAATCTATGGATTACAGTCGTTGTGGTGTAAATGGTTGCCAACGGTACAGCAGGAGAGTGGTCACCTTGTATCATCGCTGTCTCATACAGGGTCTTGACGTCGTCCGAATCGTACAACAGAGTCTAAAATGATTTGACGCTGTTGTTTGGTTCTTATTGCTAGTTGTGGCTTTACAACGCAGTCAGTCATTCACTCAGATTTATGCATTGTCAAGATTCCTAAGATCTACAAAATATATAAAGTGGTTTAAACATATTTATTCATGAAGATATGAATGGATTGGGTAACAAGCTCCGAAGAGCTTATTTGAAGGCCGCTCCCAGAAAACAAATACATGTACAAGTAAATACAGGAACAGATGACACATTGTTACAAGTCTTATTTATCAGCAATCAAGATAGGGATAAATATATAAAGTCAAGGCTAGAGAATGACCAGTCTCGATTCCTTTATTTTCTCTTTATTTCTGGTTTTGATTGATGGAAGTTTACCCTATCACGTCTATATGGTTCACGTTCTTATATTTTAAAGATGAGATAAAAATGCAACTCCCCACAAGATCAGATCGGCTGACCCTTTTAGTGCCCACAGACATATCGTTTACGTTCATTTATCACTACTGGGTCCCCCTGGAAAATGTATTGCTTTTATAAGCGCACTATACATGTGCATGGAAACACGAAAAAACTCCCGCAGTTATGAAACATTTAGGAGATAAACATCATGTGTTGGCGAATGTCCGGGTGTTATTGAGTATTTGAAGCACGGGAATTCATTTGGAACCGACGGCGTCAGACGGAGGTTTCAAATGAAATATTTCCGTGCTTCAAATACTCAATAACACCCGGACATTCGCCAACACATGATGTTTATAGACATTGTAAACACAAAAGTAAACCAAAAGGTCCACACACGTTTTTTGTGTCTGCTCTCATTGACATCGAGTACGGGTACAGCAGTGAAATGTCATCAGCCGGCCGTTTCGGCTGTCTCCCATGGTAGCATCTGGAACTGCTCCTTTGTGACGTCATTCGGACTTTACGTCACTACATGATTTTAATGACGTCATCACAGCTGACGACGTAACAATACAATGGTGTAAGCGATGTTTGTATGTATTAATACGCAGAGAATTTCCGGGAATCAAATACCATTTGATCACGTTTTTCAACCAATCAGATTAAAGAACACAGTGACTTTTGGTTTACAATGTGCTCATAGGTGTTGTTCTTACATATTATTGTTATATGTTATTATATATTAGCATAGGGTGTCATCGGTCGTAATAAAAAACATTTCACGGTCCAGTGACCGCAGCCCATTTCCGCTCATCACTGTCAGGAGATCGGCTGCAGTCAGCTAGCTTCGGTTCGGCTCGGCATTGCCGTATATGTCATGGCTTTATGGTATGGGGTTTTGTTGTCCATTGACTTTATTCTCGAACAATGTAATGGCCTACATTCATCATGCATTGTTATGATACAAGTTATCTCGTATATCTAGGCAGGCAACCCGGGTACAATGTGTGAAGCCCATTTCTGGTGTCCCCCGCCGTGATGTTGCTGGAATATTGCTAAAAGCGGCGTAAAACCAAACTCAGTCAGTCAGTCAGTCTAGGCAGGGAGGGTGGGGTAGCATAGCGGTGAAAGTGTTAGCTCGTCACGGTGACGAGGACGTCCTCCCCACTATCTGTCTGACGGAGCTGGTCTGGAAATACGATCTCCTGTCTGCTGCCGGATAGTTTGGGGAAAACTTGTCCTCGAGCTCTGTACATCGTCGTCTTCTTTTACCATCTTACCTTTATATCAATGTCTACCCGTTGACGATTATGACCTACTCCTTGCTTGGTCAAGATGTTGTTTACTGTTGACAGTCTTGCAGGACAGGTCTTCAACATATATCTCAACGATTGCCAGGAATGTCTCTTCTTAAACATTGCTCTTAACATGTAACCTTGATGCACTTATATTCTTCCTCCATGATGGGACGGAATTAACTTTAGATCTATCTGTGCGTCAGCCATGATTGCGAATGCATGGTTAAGTAAATGTATCATTCCTTTATTTATATTCTTTGTGAAAAATGTTCACTACTTTCCAAAGTAAATCCAGTGTTGAACATGTTTTCTAAACTAAGGTGATGAAGGAAATCCAAGTTCGATGGATAGTCAACTTCTTTATTGCAATGCGTGCGACCTTTCGGTGTAGGTATTTAACACCGTTATCAAGCAAGGTGATGAAGGAAAACAAATTTCGATGGATAGTCACCTTCTTTATTGCAATGAGTGCGACGTTTCGGTGTAGGTACTTAACACTGTTATCAAGCAAGTGATGAACTCAAACGATTTACTCCCAAATGTTAGACGTCCCAAAAGTCATACATCCCAATTGTCAGACAAATCAATTAGGCGTGACTGTGATTACAACCTAGTCTTACCCACTTATATAATGAACCTGTCCAATACACTAACCAGATGGTTTTCACGTTTGTACAGAAATACTTTGATCAGAATACTAATGTTGACTGGCTTACTCAATCACTGGGTTCTTCAAATGTGTTTTCACAATGTACTTGCACATATACTTAAGAAATCTAAGAAAAGCTTTTCTGTGCATGTATAATGATATTAAATCATGTGCTAACATTAATAAATCCTACTCGGACTATTTCTTCAGTCGATCTGGAGTAAGACAAGGAGAAAACTTGTCACCGCTACTGTTTTCAATTTTTATAAAGGATTTAGAAGAATTCCTACTAACTCATGGTTCCAAGAGTATAACCATCAACTTTAAACTAGATAATTATATAGACCAATTCGTTACGTTTCCGTTATGGATTGTCAACAATGGAAGCTTAATGTAAACGTCTCAAAAATTAAAATCGTCATATTTGGCGGAGGTCTATCTCGCATCTAAATCTAAATACACTTTTTCTCTTGGTGATCATGAAATAGAACAAGTTGATTCTTATACCTATCTTGGTATTAACTTTCATAGAAACAGGAAAATGAACAACGCTATAAAGCAACTATTAAATAGTGCAACTAAGGGCAAGTTTGTATTACCGAAACGAGCTCGTAACATATATTTACCCCTCGACTGTATATTAAAAGCTTTTGATGTGATGATTGTACCAATACTAGTTTATGGGTGTGCAGTCTGGGGATAGGGAAATTTAGGTGTTACCGAAAAAGTTCATCTGAAGTTTCTGAAATTGGCAACTAGACTTAGAAACTCTGGATATCGTACTTTGCAAAAGAATGATTAGTTATTGGCACAAGCTAGAACTAACAATTCTTCCTGTAAAAATGTCCAAACTTGTTTACATAATCTGTAAAATGAGAAGAAAATTATCTTGTTAAATCAACTTTTTTTATGCCAAATAAAGTTATTACAAAGTCATCCACTGATCATTTAAATTATCTTTTTGAATTAACTTATTTTGTTTTATGTCAAATTAAGTCATTGTCATTATCCACAATCACTTCTCTTTGTGTTTGGATTAGTACATTTGGACTAGTCCATTAACTTACGAAGGTAACAGTGTAGTGAACCTCAATGCAACCAACCATAACCTTTGTTGTTTAACGCGTCTAACTTTTGGGACGTCTAACTTTTGGGAGGACACCACTCAAACTCAAATTCAACGTATTCAGTAAGTGGTGAGCTAAATTCACTGAAATGGTGAGACGACCCCATACTGTCAAAACAATGATAATTGGCGTTAATTACTTCAAAGGACACCGGCAAGTCGGCCTGGCGCACCTTGACTAGTTCATCAGCTGGTCTACTCCCATTTGTGAGAACTCCCAGTTGTGAGACAGTGGAGTAGGTAAGTAGCAAAGAAAACACACCTTACTCCCCTATCTGATAGAATGGATTAACCCCAGCTAATTAGGGATTAGCTATTTAACTGAATCTTGTGGAGGTATAAGATAAAGTAATTAACCTACTCAGGTAGATGGCTTTAAAAAATAAACACTTTGTGTAGGTAACTTCGTGATCATTTGAATGAGAAAATAATTTACCTACTCAGATTTACGTGCTTGAAAAATCTAGCAATAACTTTTGTAACTATAATTAATCCAAATGTATTTATTAACCTGTGACTGCTCTTTCCGATCACCATTATGGCAGGCCTTCAACAAGTAGAATACATCACCAGTTCACGAGGCAGTATTCAGGTGCTCTTTCAGGGATAACGACCTTCCCCTTGGTATACGCCCTGCTCCCAGACTGTCGTCAAGCTACATACCAGCGCCTTTTCAGCAACCTTAAGATCCATGTTCAGCAACTTCTCAACCAGCCTCTCAACCCTGACAAGTTTCAAGTGGACTTAGAGATGGTTGTTATTCGAGCTGTTGAGCTTGAGTTTCCAGCCGCTGAGGTTAAGGGGTGCTTTTTTCACTATATGCAGGCCATCTGGAGGAAGACGCAAGAACTCGGACTCGCTGTCATGTACAGAGAAGATCCTCTTGTAAAAGGTTGGGTGCGACGAGCTGCTGCTCTCCCACTTCTGCCTCTTCGGCAAGTTCAGGACGCTTGGCTAGACACCATGAACTCCTCCCCTGACGTCCCTGGCTGCCAGACATTCAACGACTACATCACTACAACCTGGGTGGACGACGACGTTCGCTTTCCCTTGCCCATGTGGAACCATTATGACACATTCGGCCCCAGGACTAACAACAACATCGAGGGGTTTCACAGTAGATTGAATGCTTCACTCAGTCATTGCCATCCAAACATCTTCAGGTTTATGGAAATCATCAAGAAAATAGAGAAGGCAGAGAACACCAAGCTGTGCCAACTCGACTTGGGAGGCGCCCCTCGATCGAGGAAACCCGTGTATAGGGAAATAGACAATCGACTACATAGACTCAAAGATCAACTCGCCGATGGAACGAAAAATCACATGCAGTATCTTGATGCAGTCGGCAAACTGCTGAAAATATGAAAAGTGTCAAAATCTCAAAATATGGACCCATGTAAAAAAGTGTTTTATAATCACACAGAAACATCATCAAAATGTGTGAATCCAAAATCATAATGAAATATTTAATGAACTATTTCTTCTGTGTAAATATAAGGATAATCTTTTTCAGTATTTCAGTATTTAACTTGTTCATTATTGAAAACAATAAATGCTCTTCAACGAACAATGTCTTCTGTGTTAATTAACTCATTAATGAACTATGCCTCCTGCGGGTACTCTTGAGGAACAGGGCTGTTCCCACTTTCAACGTAGGGGTGGGGAAGCACCACCTGTGTGCACTGAACCATTAATTAATGTGTCTCACAACTGGGAGTTCTCACAAATGGGAGGACACCCATCAGCTTGTACACTTGTTGACCACCGACCCTTGAGAGTGTTGACTGGGGCTTTGATCCCTTTGATTGTTTGTAGTTAGATACTGCTCGCTGGTAATAATGCAAGTTAACTGTGAACCTTCATCACGATTTCTAGTATTACATTATTGTTATTTTTATAGCATCCTGGTCTTAGGAGCTCCGTGACACCTGACAACGACCTTTAGAGAAAGAAGGCAAGACGTCGATAACACAGAAAATTACGTCAGACTTCAGTCAGTCAGCAAATTGAGAACTGTACTCATACGATAAAATAATGGATGACAAATATCAGACTAAACTCACTGATGACAGACTGAAGTCCAACTGGATGACAAACAACTTGAAAGAGATCATAGATAGAAAGGTCAATATAGCCTCTGCCTTGTTACGTTTTGTACACTTGTGAAAGATTGATTGATTCTGATCTCTACATGGGGGCTCAAGTAGACGGACTCTACTCATCTTTCATCTGGAAACACCCGAAAGTACATCACAACAGCAAGTGATCATCTCCTTGTCACGTGTCTTGTTTTTTCTCGATTCAATCAGAACACTGCCATTGACTGCTTTGCGTCGCAACAAAACTCAGCTTTACAAAAGGCAAACAGTTCGGAATACAGCTGCTCGCATTGCTTCTTAAAATCCAAGTCATAAAACATAAATTCTATTCTCAAATCCCAATACCGACTTACTGTTGCATCTCGTATTGACTTTAATCTCTTCCGCCTTGTCAATAATTGTCTACACAATTTTGCGCCGTCTTATCTCAATGATGTCATCACAAAAAACACCCTAGCCACAACTCTTCGATCCCAGAACAAGCTCTTGTTAATAGTCCCCAAGATCCGCTTAGCTTCATTCGGCAAGAGATCATTCCAGCATGCAGCTCAAAGACCTTGGAAATCTCTCAACATTTAACTTTCTGCTTGACTATAAAAAATCAAATCTCGCTTGAAACCTCATCTTTTGTCCAGCACTTACTACGGACTCTTCTAAACACACCGGGTATATTTTGTATACATGCTCTCATTTGATTGAGCGCAATGAGCATGCACAAGTGCGTGGATACATGTGCATTATAATTGTCCATTATTACTATCCTTAGAAGTCATTTTCTTGTCTCATTTGCGAAAATGTAACAAGTGTAAACTGCAAAACAAGTATTACATTGATTGCCTTAGGATGTCTTGAAACATTAAGCACCAATGAATGTCGACTATCTTCTGTAAAAGAAGGGGCGGTGGGGTAGCCTAGAGGTTAAAGCGTTCGCTCGTCACGCCAAAGACCCGGGTTCGATTCCCCCACATGGGCAAAATGTGTGAAGCCCATTTCTGATGTCCCCCGCCGTGATATTGCTGGAATATTGCTGAAAGCGGCGTACAATCAAACTCACTCACTCACTCACAGTAAAAAGGGTCCATATTGCATTAAAGACAAAGTGATAAAAGGTGAATGCAATGGTCACTGACATGACTATGTATTTGCTGCTCGTTCCGTAGCACCCGTCGCTCATTCTAGTTGCATTAAAAGAGTCATGACGGTCATTGAGAAGATGTGGACGCCACACAAATTTCATTAACACTTCATTTTAACAAGCAACGTATCATTTTAAATGCAAATGCTAAATACTTGAACAATTGGGACATGAAACTGATGGTACGCGCAAGTGTATATTTTTTACAAAAGCAGATGCTGGTGTGGTGGGGTAGCCTAGTGGTTAAAGCGTTCGCTCGTCACTCCGAATGCCTGGGTTTCTTTTCCCAAGTCTCGTATCCCCCGTCGTGCTATTGAAAAAATCAGATATTTTGAAAAACTCTAAGATTTCCCCAGATTCGTGCAATTCAACTTCATTGATTCAGCTAACGAAATGCTAATTCACACTGATGTTATCTTTAAGGTAGTAACACATCACACATATTTTTTACTCAGTAACTTTCAGATGACTATTGCTTACTTTTGTGAAAACCTGCTCTGATCCATTGACGATAGAGATTCTATGGTAGTGGGCACCACGTAGTGTGAAAAATGGCCCGTGATTTAAGGAATGAAGACGTTCCGTAATGTCACGGAATGGGACAGTTTGCATAATTGAACTTGATTCTGTTTCTTTGTTTCTTTCTGTCTAATTCTGTTGGTTATGAAGAAAGTTATTTACATTGTCCCCGTAATTTCTCAAATTATGACGTCATACAGTGTTATGATAACAGATTTTATCATGCAATGGATAGCGTTCTCGACAGGATAAAGCTAACGGATATTTTCGGTATCCGTTACGTTGCTCTCAGTGCTTTGATCCAAGAAAATTTATGTCTGGTAATGATAGAATGGATTACGACGCGAAGATAGAAATTCATAATCTTACGAAGATACCAACATCAGTTTCCCGACCGACTGTCAGTGTTAGCGAGCTGACGGCACGCGAACATTAAAGTGTATTTGTTGTTCAAAAGGTTAATTGAAGGTTTCTGAAGTTCCACACGAGTTTGTTGTTATTTTTCAAACGTCAATTTAGCGATCAGCAGAAAATTGTGTCACCGAGTTTGTGATGTAACGTATTACTACGCACATATTTGTGACGTCATAGATATGTGTGCACACTCCACCAAGTTTAGTAATGATTTGTGGCAACTGAAATTGCATTTTTTTAAATTATAAAGTAAGAATGACATTAAATAGCGTAAACGTCAAAACTCGTTGCTGGCGCACGAATACATAAGCACAACAAAAACACATGGCGTTTTCTGAATAGTCTGTAAAATATCTTTAAAAACAATAGAATTATAAATAACAACAACATGGCGCTGTATGTATGTCGAATCGGAATGTTTCGATAATTAAGTTGCTAGACACGTCTTTAAATATAGATTATCACACTCGTGTGTTTTGGGATGGTTACTAAATTAGGAATAAACACCATGTATTTAGCTCGACAGGGCTCGCTTAATATGATGTTTATAAAGCAGGATATTTACCATCCCAATTCACACTTGCGTGATAAATTATATTTAAAGACGTGTCTAGCAACTTAATTATCGAACCCATTCCGATTCGAGATACATACAGCGCCGGTTTTCTATATAATTTTATTGTTTTTAAAGATATTTTACAGACTATTCAAAAAACGCCATGTGTTTTTGTTGTGCTTATGTATTCGTATGCCAGCAAAGACCAAAATGATCGTTTGATGGATACATGTATCATTTCAAGTGCTGGTCTTATTCAAACAATGACACTAAATAAAAAGATAGCAACTGCTACAGATATGTCTCGATTTTTATTGACAATGTATTTTCGAATAAACAAAGAAGTAAACATTCTTTAGGTTACAGATTACGTTCATCGACTTTCTCAGATTAATCATTTTTAACATTAATTATACAACATTGGAAGCATGTGATAAATAGAATATTTCATGTGTCTACTCAAATATGATGCGACGTGAGGAAGGTCATAATTTCACCTCATTCGATGACAGATACATCCTATTTCACTAGACACATGGAATATCCTCTATGCATTCGTTATAACTTATCGCCTTTTGAACCACATGCGCAGTGTTGTATTGAATGGTAAAAGATATAACTAATGACATATTAACGATAGGCTGGAACTCCCCTAGGCAAAGCTCTCTATACTACAGTCCCCCTTGTATAAGAAACTCGTTAACTATAGATCCAAATTTCAATGGGAATAAACCCAATTATAATGATTAGAGTTTATAGATAACAAACGAGTGTGTGTGTTGCAGGGGAATCTCCCCCGAACGCAGCCTGGAAAATAAGCATGGTCTACTTGATAAAAGTAATTGAAAATTAGAAACGACTTCCTGGTGGTGGGATATCTAGGGTCAAATATTATGTCGATTTCATCTGCCCCCGCCGCCTACGCAAACACAGGGGGCGTCTCAAAACATTGAATGAAGGTTTTTAGAAAAGAATTGATGTTATTCCTGTCTATGCGACTGCTACGGTCAAGCAATGGCTTTCCTATATATATATATACTCATGCCAATAATGGTTGTCACCCCTTTCAAAAAAAATTTATTGGAGAGGGGTGGGGATGGGATGTGTGTGGGGTTGGGGTGGGGACGGGGTGACAACCATTATTGGCATGAGTATACTAAATGGAGGTCGGACAGCAAAATTGCTAATGTGTTGTCAATTAACCCGGGGTCTGATTCTCACGTTGGAATTTATTTATAAGTTAAAGTGACCGCTGGTTCATTAAGCAAACTTGTAGAGGAGTGAGTCAGTTTAGGTTTACGCCGCACTCAGCAATATTCCAGATATATGGTGGCGGTCTGTAAATAATCGAGCCTGGACCAGACAAGCCAGGGATCAACAGCATGAACATCGGTCTACGCAATTGGAATACGATGACATGTGTCGACCCAGCCAGCGAGCCTTGCCACCCGATCCCGTTAGTCGCTTCTTACGACAAGCATGGGTTACTGAAGATCAATTCTAACCTGGATCTTCACGTGTCACTTGTAGAGGAACAGCATATCACCATAATATTACTACGTTTTCGAAAACACTCGAATCTGTTGATTTTGGGTAGATAACCAAGAGATTTTCTTGATTTCTACATGGAAGCGTTTCACCA